GCCTCCTGTATCTATCATCAGTTATGGCAATATACCACACACATGCCCACAGTAGGATGGGCCTCCTGTATCTATCATCAGTTATGGCAATATACCACAGACATGCCCACATGCAGACTGATCTGGACATTCCCCCGATTCCTAGCCCCTCAGATGACACTGGGCTATGGCAAGCTGACAGCTGAAGCTAACGGAATAATACTGGCAGAAAACCCTACTGCAGACGCTCCTGAACTTGTGACCTCATCAGCCCATCGTAACTTTAAAATATCACAAGTCAAACATGCTTCATGGCCCTAGCCTACCAACCATCATAGCTCGCCTGCCACGCACTACCATGTCTACTAGCCTACCAAGCGTCACCTACAATGCACTAGTGTCACGCCTCAGGACGGCTAGGCTGGCTGACACCTCAGGTCACTCAATGTCAAGAGAGTACTGTACTGGATTTTGCTAAACCTGGAAAATGGTCAATGTCCAAATTCCAAGCACAGTTTCTACTGAATGTTTATCACTTCTGCAGCATCAAGAAGTCATTTTTTAAAAAATCACAAGTAGGAGCCATCGCTGATTTTCCTACTCGTTGTCACTGGAGATCACCACTTACAGCCAACACTCTGCTTCAAAGACATAATTCTTGAACAAACCTTCAGAAGGTCTGAACAGGGGCTTCGTAACAAAGGAATAACGGTCAACACTTAGGAAGACGCATGGGAATGAGGAAGCTAGTTTTCAACCTCAAGAGAAGCTAAGCGTCCATAATGTCAGGCTGCCCACCGAGGACATTCGCTTCATGACATCACTTCCCAGCTTCCTCTCCACCGGTACCTCACAGCTCAACTTGTGATCAGATCTGTTCAGTGGCGGAGACCCATGAGCATACACTAAGTCAAGGCTCCAGTAAGCCTGGAAGTTCGGAGACAGGACACTGCCGACAACTCGTGGAGAGCATTGGCTCTAAAGAAAAGAGGAAAACATGGGGGAGGGGAGGAAGACACAGAATAGACATCTGTGTAATCACACTCAAAACTTCAGAATGCTACTTCTGTCCTCCACAGACCCTTGCTGAGAAGTGCCTTCCAAAAGTATGCTGATCAAATTTATGAGACAAGTCAGAAATACACATTTAAAAATGGGAAGTTTTATGTTATGTCTGTTTTACTACAATAAAAGAAATCTACAACCTTTTCTCACTTAGTGTCACTAGTTTGCTAGTTCTTAGCTATCTACCCACTGAGGATACTCTAATCTGCCTGCTCCATATGGCCTATGTCCCAAACTCCCTAAAGGACAATAATGAACCTTACATACATGGGCTTTTCCTACTCATAGCTAAGATAACATTTACCTTATAAACTAGACATGGCAAGAGATTAACAACTAAGAATAAAATGGAACAATTATTAACAATGTATCAGAGTGGAAGTTAAGAGACCCATCTCTCCATTCCCAGCATCTGTCTGGCAGCTTATTCAGGATGGACAGACTTCGACACATGCCCACTGGGTGGCACAGGGTAGTTTCATCACAGTGTTCACACATTACTTTGAACATGTGCCCATGTGTGCCTGTGCTTATGTGCATATATGTACATGTGTGCCTTGAATGTAGAGGTCGGGGCACAAGCTTGGGTGTCATCTTTTAGGAATACGGTCTCCCCTTTTTAGAGAGAGATAGGTTCTCACTGGCCTAGAGCTGCCAAGCAGAGCAAGCCGCCTGGCCAGTAAGGCACACAGATGCGCCTGTCCCCACCTCGTCAGCACCGGGACTATAAGCACATGAGCCACTATGCCATGCCCAGCTACCATTTGGGTGTAGGTTCTGGAAACGGAACTCAGGTCCTCTGTAAACACTTGACTGACTGAATCCCAAGCACAAGCATGCAATTTAAATCTTGTTAACTTCTTGAATGTGTTAAATTTCAGGTAATAGACGACTGTGGGTATCAGAAAGTACAAAAAGCAGGAGTAATTAGTGACCAATGAGGACTACTGTGCAAAGATGTGAGGTCTGCCTCTAGAACCTTCCACAGTAGGTGGTGATGCTTATAACATATGCAAAGTAGAAACTTATACATTTTACATGAGGGACACAAAACAGTATAGAGGGAGTCTTCTGACTGGATGACTATGCAGGCCACAGAGAGGATGGTACTGACTGGGTCATTATGTACAAAGGTGGGAACAGTTAAGGGCTGGGAGCAGCCCAGATGTCTAATGAGAGGTGATGAATCTTTAAAAGGGAGTTCATGTATGTAGGGGATTAGTCTTCAGCCTTACAGAAGGAAGGAATGCAGACACATGCCTGAGCATCTGTGACCTTTGCAGGTATTGTATCAGGCAAAATCACATCAGTATGCAAGTTCCTCGAAAGAAACTAGATCTACTCTATGACCCACCAAGTGTGGAAGACGTTTGTGGGGCAACCTGGGAAAGGTGCACTGGGATTTACATATTATGTGATGGAAGAAGACTGATGTGCAATGCTCTGAGGAGGAACACTGCCATGATTGTGTGTGGTTCTGGAAAGCGGAGAAGCTGAGTATTTAGGAAGGCGAAGTTAGGAGACTGGTTCTCTCTTCAGAGACAAAGTTATCCACACAGAGAGAGCAAGCCAGCGTGTCAGATGTTAACAAGATGTGAGGTTGGATGAAGGACATCTCGGTGCTCACAGAGTCTCTTTACTCGCTTGCTTTTATGCATGTGTGTGGACCTGAGTGAGTTTATGTGCACCATGTGCCCACAGAGGCCAAAAAGAGCATCAGGTCGTCTGGAGCTGCAGTCACAGATGGGTATGAGCCACCTTGTGGGTCTAAGCTATCTCTCCAGCCCTTGCTTTTTCAACAGCCTTACTGGTATTAATTCATGTTCATAAATATACTATAAAACTGACCGTTACGCAAATGACTCGATACCTTTCAGGGTATTATGAACTGGAATTGCTGGTCGTATAGTACGATGTCTGTCATGCTCTGCTTGTAATTGTTCTTTTCTTTCCGAGATTTATTTTTAAGTGTGTTGGGGGAGAGCTGCACATACATGAGTATGGGAGCACACAGAGGCCAGCGGTATCAGATCCCTTAGAGCTGGAGTTACAGGCTGTGGTGCTTTAAAGAAAAATGGCCCCCATAGGCTCATAGGGCATTGCCTTATCTGATATGTGGCTTTGTTGAAGTAGGTGTGGCCTTTTTGGAAGCAGTGTGTCACTGGGGGAGGAAGGATGGGCAATGGGGTTTTAGGAGTCCAAGCCAGGCCCAGTGTCACTCTCTCTTCCTGCTGCCTGCCAAGATGTAGAACTCTCAGCTCCTTCTCCAGCACCATACCCGTCTGGATGCTGCCATGCTCCCCACCATGATGATAATGGACTAAACCTCTGAAACTGTAAGCCAGCCCCAATGAAATGTTTTCACTTATAAGAGCTGCTTTGGTCATGGTGTCTCTTCATAGCAATGGAACACTGATTAAGACCTAGGTGGTTAGCTGGGCGGTGGTGGCGCACGCCTTTAATCCCAGCACTTGGGAGGCAGAGGCAGGCGGATTTCTGAGTTCGAGGCCAGCCTGGTCTACAGAGTGAGTTCCAGGACAGCCAGGGCTATATAGAGAAACCCTGTCTTGGGGGGAAAAAGAAAAAAAAAGGCCTAGGTGGTTATGAGCTACCCGTTCTGTAACCTGGTACCACAGTAATTTGCCTCAGATAAAGATAAGTACAGGACACTGGGTGCTGAGAACTGAGCTCAGAGCCTCTGCAAGAGCAGTGTGTACTTTTAACCTCTGAGCCATCTCTCTAGCCTCTGCAATTAGTTTCAGAGAGGTGGCTCAGAGGTTAAGAGCGCTGATTTCTCTGCCAGAAGATCCAGGTTTGATACCCAGTGCTCATATGGTAGTTCACGGCTGCCTGTAACTCCAGTCCTTCTGGCCTCGACAGGCACCAGGCATGCATGTGGTGTACATACATACATGCAGGCAAAACGTCCAAACACGTGATATATTTCAAAGGGGATCTTCCTCATCTAAGTAGTACCTGCTGTATTGGGCTCCAAGGAAGCCGATATAAACCTCAGCTGGCTAAGGGGTCCTCACACTCCTACGATTCTCTAGGGACTGGATCCAGGGCTAGGCAGTGTGCGGCACACCACAGACAGCTTTGTCTCTTTACAAGGAATACGTTTTTTTCAAATGACGTCAGTTTTCCAGTTGAGCAACACCGTTTAAGTTAAGACTGGCCTCTTAAAAATTCCTTTGCTGTTCCAAACACTTAAGTCTGTCCTCCTGAATAACGGACGCATGCCTTCGCTAAGAGCTGAAAATAAAAACAAACAGAAGAATTTCTGACACATGTTCACAACCACACGAGTAGCAGAGGTAACTCCCAGGCTGTCTCTCTAAAGAGAGCACTTATTAGACTACTGGCTGGCTGGTCGCATTTTTCTGTATTCAACTGTATGTGTGCATGCAGGTGCGTGTGCCTCAGTGCAGGGGATGACATCAGGCGTCCTGCTCTCTCTCTTTCTCTCTCTCTGCCCTGATCCTTGGGCACGGGATCTCTTGCTAAACATCAGCAATTTTCCTGTCTACACACCTTTATCTTGTACCGGCACTACAGGTGCATAAGTGGTCCCAGCCTTCTACATGGCTACAAAGTCGGGGATCCCTGCTTACAGAGTGGACGCTCTTACCCACTGAGCCACCTCCCAGGCCCCATGCGGCTGTTCTGTTGTGTGAGTTCTCTTTTTCCTGATGACTTAGAGACGCACCCATACAGCATTGTTATCTTAACCCCAAAGTGCCAAATGTACACCTCTAGTTTAATGAGCACATACAAAATGGAGGACGGGCATCCGGGAGAAGCCTTCCTATGAGTGAGGGAAAGCGTGTGGGGCTGATGGGCTATCGAGGTCTGCACACTCACCGTGAGCTGTACTTCTTGAGGATGCTATCCAAGGTGCTGACCAGCTCTTCGGTGTTGATGAACTTCTGCGTGCTGAGGGTGTACATCTTCTCGTAGAAGTCTGCGATCTCCATCCGGGCCTGAACAAAGAAACAGAGCTGCTCTGACAGGTGGGGGAGGAGCTCCTCCACGTGAGGAGCCGTTCCACCCGGGGCGCCGCGTCCCGCCACCACTTTCTTCAGTTCGTTATGCAGGGAAGTGTAGATGGTGCGGATGGAGTCCTTCCTGCTGAAGAATGACTGGCCCCCTGGGAAGCAAATGGCAATAGCAGATGACAAGTAAGGAAGAGAAACCAAACGGACCTGGCGCCTCCCAACACCCACTTGAAAAGACACTAGAGCCAGTGGGGCTCACTGAGCTTGTGACCGACATGCTCTCCGAGGAACAAGTCAAAGTGAGCACTGGCTACACAGTCATCAGAGTAGCGGTGGACCTGGAGTTGTCTTCCTTACTATCAATTTCCCCGGACTCCATATTCAGAGTTACTTTAGAACATCACTACCCTGGCATATAACTGCTACAGGATACTTGTGAACGCCAGGATTGTGTTATGGTGTGGCTTAGCCCTTAGCATAGGCTGGGATACAGACACGCCCTCGGTACACACCTTTAATCCCAAACAATGAAGGTCAAGTTAGTTTGTAGAATGAAGCAACCGTGTTTGAAAGTGGTGTCTGATTGAGTGGCAGACAAAGTGATGAATCAGAGAAAGATTTGACAGAACGGGATATGCTGAACTCTCACGAGAAGAGAGAGGAATGGGAGCTATGAAAGAGCAAGAGAGAGAAAGAGAAAAAGGGAGAGGAAGCAGTTTTACCAAGACTTTTACAGAGCGGTGCAGAGAAAAGAGGAAGGAGGCAGCTTTCCTGGGACAGTTATACAGAAACAGATTGCAGAGAGAGAACAAGCTAGACACTGACAGAACGAGCCAGAGAATGAGAAGGAGCCACAACGGACTGCCAGAGTTAGACTGAGACCATCAGAGCAAAAAATCAGAGGCTGAGAGAAGCCAGATTGACCCAGTCAGCTCAGAGAGGAGTTTGAGCCAGAACGGCTGAGTTGATCATCCAGCCAGAGAAAAAGAAGAAAGAAAGAGCTAGAAAGGGTGAGCTTATTCAACAGTAAGTCTCAGAGGCTGAAAACACTATAGGCCTAGATTAGATTGTACAAAGGCCAGAAGCTTCCAGGACTAGGCCTAGGTTAGCAGACAGACGCAGTAAGCCTCAGAGAGGACAATTACAACAGGTGAATGAAAGTTACGTTTACATATAACATAAAACCTGGATTTAAAACAAACAACGGTCCTTTTTCATATGTACTTTTAAAACAGAGAACCCATGGATTATAAAACACTTCCGTTAGGACTGGTATCCCAGAGCATTTTGTTTCTTCTTCAGAGATGCATCATCCTTAAATCTTATCTTTTAGGCCGTGCCAGGAAATGAGACTGCACACTCACACATCCTTTTATGAAGCACACACTGGGGTCTCGGGGGAGGGGGAGAGGTGTGCAGTGCTCTTGACAGGGCTGACAATACAGGCACACCACATTGTGAATTACTAAGACCAAGAACCGATTATAAATAACTGTTGCTCCAACGTAAAACAAAACAAACAACAGCAAAAACCCTGCAAAAGAATCAGAGCAACTACGTTCTTGATGACGGTCATGAGAAACAAACGGCAGGGGTATCATCTACTTGAAAAGTTGTGCCTGACTAACTGTATCTCTAATCACAGAGCCAGCTTCATGGATATTTGCTTAAGTCTTGGATCTCCCATCAAAGAGCCAGATGCAACAACGCTTTAGCACAACGACAAGAAACAGGAGTGCTTACAACGGTGATTTCTACAAGTGTACACAAACCTCAGAGATTTTCTGTTAAGCTCAGAATGCCTCAGCAAAACGATGGACAGGTGACCGCATTGTTTACTCGTTCCCACTGTTAAAAAGGGGTGGGGCCAGGGCAGAAACTTAAACTCTGGGTTGAAAAAGTAATACCTACACTCATCAGATCACAAGGCAACAGAAATACAACATAAATTCAAATGATACCTTTAAAGGCCGACACCAATCACCAGTAGGTGAAACTCCTACGTGGAAGAGAGATCACCAATGCCTTACTTTTAATTCTGTCTCTTTTTTCAAAGTTTTCAGCAAAACAACCCTATCTCTTGACTACCCTGCCTTCTAGCCACCAATGAGGACAGTGCCCTGCTTTCTAGTACCCAATGAGGACTAATCCTCCTTTCGGTCTTCCTTCATGCTGGGAAGCAATCAGAAACACCCAACTTATTTTCTTTTCCAGTATTTTCAATTTACAAACTCTGATGTTTTGGATTTTTTTTTCCCAGAATATTCTAGCTATCAGTGACTGTTATTTCTCCAAGGCTTCCACCTTCACCTCATAAAATTTCAAGCATAAAAAACACATTAGCATCGTAAATAAGCGTTTTACTCTACAACTTCTTTGAAATGACTTTTAAACATCCATTCTTAAGTCGCCTCCGTGTGTGCCAAGGTTTATCAATCAGGGTGTGTGAGGAAGTGTTCCTGTAATCAATCAAAGGCAGGACAGGCATGACAGTCTCTGATCCCCGCTGCTGCCCACTCAGCACGTTTTAACCACTATCTTTCCCCAAACTAGTGTTTTTCTGTCCCCAAAGCACAGAGAAGGCGCCAAGATAAAAGTCACACCCAGTTTTTCAGGAATAGAGCCAGGACATTGACGGGTGGACAGTTCCTGTCGGGTCTGTCCTTTGTTTAAAAGCCCAGGCTAGCATATTTAATCCGGGCCAGCTGCTAGAGCTTCAGACAGGGGTCAGAGACTTTTTCTTTTGAGACAAGGTCTCACTTGGTAACCCAGCTCTCCTTTATCTCCCCGATGCTCCTGCTCCTGCCTCGGGAGTACTGGAGATTACAAGCATGTTGGACCACACACAGTTTAGACTCACTTGAAGTGTGCTCAGTCAGTAGGTCGTAAGTTCTCTCACCACAGAGTGAGGTGGTGGGAGTGAGTCACCAATTCATAATGCAGAGCAAAACATCGATTGGATCGCCTAAGTACATACCATTTTTATTTGTTAATCATACTTTCAAAAAATTGTAAAGACCACGTTTCCTTTTGTTTTGTCTTTTGAGACAGGGTCTCACCACGCAACCCCAGCTGGCTTGGAACTTGCTACGGGGACCAGACCAGCCTCAGACTCACACCTGCCTCTGGCTCCTGTGTGAGCAGACTGAAGGCATGCACCACCATGCCCAAGCAATGCTTCAAAAGAGTTAAAGGCTATGTATCATTGTTTCTTTATGCTTCACAAAGAAAACCACAGGACTTCCAAAAAACATGGTACTGCTTTAAATAACAATTTTTTTTCCATTCTCTGATAATCATATTATCATGTATGCACCACTATACAAATACAGCAAAACCTATGCTGACTATTATCATTTAAATTACAAAGGACTTACACATGTCATTTTTAGAACACTTACTCAGAAGGGAGATCAGCCCTGGAGCCCCAGTGCTGTTTCACAGGAAGAACTGAGAGATAAGGCTTCCCCTACAAGACAGCTGAGGTTCAAGCAGAACTCGGCACCTTACACAATAAGGGCCACTTCACAGAAGCCAAGTCAGAGACAGTAAAGGACTTCTACAGATGTGTAGACTTAGTGGCCAGTTCTTTTTTTTTTTTTTTGGTTTTTCGAGACAGGGTTTCTCTGTATAGCCCGGGCTGTCCTGGAACTCACTCTGTAGACCAGGCTGGCCTCGAACTCAGAAATCCGCCTGCCTCTGCCTCCCGAGTGCTGGGATTAAAGGCGTGCGCCACCACCGCCCGGCAGTGGCCAGTTCTTTTTACACAAAATCCTGGCGCATACAATTCAAACTTAGTGCAAATTTATTTATTTATTTATTTACGGACCCATAAATGGACTTTAATAAGAAACCCAATTGCTCTTTCTCATTCTCTATATCTGGAGCTATGTATATGCTGTATATGTATATAGGAGGGTAATCCTATGGATGAGCTCAAGCAACAAAAAAGTTAAAAATGTTCTTTGACTATTTGTGTTTATGGTCTTGCTTGTTCTTTGACTATTTGCATCTATTATATTGCTAGTTCCTCAACCTAGAACTGACCATAATATACTTGCATGTAATTAAAATGGTATAAAAGCAAAGAGGAGGAGGGGGGATGGGATGGGGGTTTCTAGGGAGGGGAAATGGGGAAAGGGGATGACATCTAAAATACAAATAAATAAAATATCCAATAAAACAAACAAACAAAAAAAGGAATGCTGGCACTTGGGTCAATTGCCACTTTTTTTAGGCAGGAAGTCTAAAACATCCCAAACTGCCGTAATATTATCCACCTTCAATATTATGACTAGAATATAGCCTATTATCACACACATGTATATGTATATGTATATATATATATATGATACATATCAAATACATACACGAATGAATAGGCATCATATAAAGAATATCTGTATATGCTTTGAGTAAAGGATATGTATACACCCAATCTGATTAGTCAAGGCAGGTGTTCAGGTTTGAGATCCACCACCTCCCATAAGTGCATACCCAATTCGCTACACGGTAGACGATAGGATTGTAACACTGTAACAGCAATGGCACATGTGTGCGCTGTAACACTGTAGAGAGAAAAATATACAGAGTGAAATCTCTGACGACTTATTGCCAATAACTAAGTAACAATCATTTGAAAAGCTACAGAGTTTATAATCTCAGAAAGCCTGGAGTGTTTACCAAACGTTTAGTATTCAGTAAGCTTTCTGGCAACAGAAGGGGATGAACTCTATATGTAATTTACACTTGCTTTCCTTTATGCCAAAGATGTGTATCCTTCAGTTATGAAAGGCCCTCGAACTTTTAATAACTAAACGGTCAAGAAGAAACCAAAGTAGTACAATTCCCTATTCCAATTCTCTGGCAGTCAGCTAACATTTGCCATTATTATTAAAGGTAATACTTTTACGTGGCTTTTATGTATTATTTGTCAACTGAAACCAATTGTTTCTCGTAGTGATAATCAGTTAAAAAAGAGTTCCTGCATCTTATTTTCAGGGTTAAAATTTACATGAGGGCTAGCAGTGTCTACTATCCTGTCCCTTAACTCTTCTCCAGTTAAGGCTTTGCACAATTCTTGCCTTTCCTGTCCAGGATCCACTCATTCCTTCATTCACTTAATACGCACTGAAGAACTGAAGAGGGGATAGGATTCCCCTCTGTATAAGAGGCCAGGCAAAACAGTATTTATTAACACACCTAGGTTCGTTCCTTTGCTCCTCAGGCCGCAGTGAGGTCTAACCAGTGAGTTAGAACGGGGGACGCAGAACTTAATTAACTTGTCACTTATGAAACCAATCCATGCACGGTGCAAAACCGTAAACCCACGGGGTTTGGAGCATGCCCAGCCAAAAGCATCCATCCGCCCAGTCCACCCAGGCAGCGGTGACACAGGCCGGTGGGCGGGGCTTGCAGCAGACTAGGGAAGGAAGGGGACCGGTGGGAGGAGACCTGGGCAGAGTGGAGCCCGCCGCTGGGAGTGACAGGGCACCCAAGCCACGGCAGACCGGGGAGCGCACCCCCTTTCCTTCCTCCTCAGGGGCAGGGGCGGGGCGGAGGTACCTAGTTTCTGCCCCAGGTAGGTGAGGCTGTGATAGACCTTCTCGGCCGCAGCCAGGTGCGCCAAGGCCGCCAGCAGCGACAGCCAGCTGCCCCCCGCGCTCTTGTTGGCCTCTCGTTCCTTCTCCACATTGTCCTTGGCCTTGTCGTAAGAGAAGATGCCGAGGTGAGAGAAGAACGTCTCCAGCACCGCCTGTTCCACCGGCACCGGGGCGGCTAGCGGGATAGACTCCCCCATGCGACCTGCGCGCCAGCTCCACCCACGTGGCTCCGCTCGCACTTCCGGGTTCCGAGGGGCGGGGGGACGCGCGTGCGCAGCCGCGTGCGTGCGCGTGCCCGCGGTGGGGCGGGCGAGCAGGCTGGCGGCGGGATGTTCCAGGGGCTCGCAGAGGGCGGAGGATGGAGGTGGCTCCGAAGCCTAAGAGCCGGAACCTTGGGAGCCAGAGACCTGAAGGAGCCCGAAGCTGACCACCTCCAAGCCCCGTGACGTCTCCTTGCCCTTGGAGGCCCCTGACAGGCAACGCCTTAGCGCGGATGACGTCACGCGGCTTTGACGTCAGCTCTTGCGTGGCCATCCGAGCCCGAGGCCTTATCAGCCTTGGCATCACCAACTGAGGTTGTTCGATGGAAGCCTGACAGAGAAGTTCATGGCTGGTCGCCTAGTTTTCAAACCTAGCCAAGTCAGATCTGTGTGGGTCGGTTAGCTTCCGGAGCTAGAATAGTCTTCCGCTTGCCCATCCATCTCCAATTCCGTGAGGCTTCCTTGCAGGCGTCTCAGAATCAGGAATAACGTCACATGAAATAGGTGCATTTTGTCATGCAGATTCTTCTCAAGTTCGACATTTCAAAAACACCAAACCACCTCAGCTCACGTGTGTGCCCGCTACTTTGAAATACTTGACATATAAATTGTACCAATTGCAGAGTTTCACTGGAACATTTCCACGCATGAATATATCATGCTTTGACCGTGTCCATCTCCCATTCTCTCTTATACTCCCCATTTCAACTTCCTTCCTTTGGCTTCCTTCCCAGTCCTTAACAGTCCTTCTCCTCACGCAATAGGAGAACATGTTGCAAACCTGGGAAAAATATTTAGAGGATATACCAAAGGGCTAATGTTTTAAGTATTAATGGACCAAGATCTCTTTCTAACTTGTAAAAACAAGAGGCTATGGACCTGTTGAGACGGCTATGCAGGGGAGGCCGCTTGCTGTTAAGGCCTGAGGCCCTGAGTCAGATCCTGGACATCTACATGTCCAGATCCTGCAAGTTGTCCCCTGACTTCCATACGAGCACACAGGTATACTCACACAAGACAAATAAAAAGTGTTTGAAAAGGCTATGTGTATACTAATCTCAAGAAAAATATAAAATGCAATTTTTATGCCCAATTGAACCATTCAAAAAAAATGCAGGCTAAATTACTATTTTCCTTAGTGAGTGTCATTTCTTTTTGCTGAAGGGCCTATGTAGACAGAGTTGGCCGTGAACAGTCTGAGGTCTGGATGACCAGACCCAGAATAAATTTAAAATATTGTTATGTGTAGGGGCATATGTTCTCATGAGTGTGTGTGTGTGTGTGTGTGTGTGCAGGTGTGTTTGAGTGCACATATTCATGTGTGTGCTTTCATGTAGAGGCCAGATATTATTTCAGGCATCTTTCTTAATTCTTCCTTCTCTTATTCTTTGATACAGATTTTTCTCGTTGACCCTAGAGAGCACAGATTGTTTAGGCTAGCGAGCCTATGAGTGCCAGGGATCCACCTGTCTTCGCCCACCCAAAGCCTAGATTATAAACATTAGCCTTAAGTCCAGGTTTTTTGGGTGATCTGATTTTAGCCCCTTGCATAGCAGTCACTTATGGCCTGAGTTACCTCCCAACCCTGACCCCCCAAACAAAATTTCAAGGGCTCCTAAACATACTGTGAAGGTCACTTATCATGCACTGCAGATGTGAATAATAGATGTGACACCTCTAGAAAACAAATGGCAGGAGCTGTCTGTCAATATGTGGGTGTACATACACTACAGTATTGACTGTAGACACCACCCAGTATTCCAGATCAGAGCGAGCAGAACATTACTCGTCTTATGAGTGAAAGCTTCTACCCTTTATCCAACATGACCATTTCTCCCGATCTCTGACCACTTGCAATTTCCATTCTACTGTTCCTTGAGGTTCATCTTTTTTTTTTTAAGATTCTGTATGTAAATGAGATGATACTTACCCTTCCTGTTCCTGGCTTATTTTATGTAGCATGTCCCCTTCAGGTTCATCAGTGGTTTCCTTTTAATGACTAATATCCCATTGTGTGACTACGCCACATTATCTTTCTCTGTTCATCTGTAACTGTGCGTTTACATTGTTTCTTCATCTTGGCTATGGCGAATAATGCTACAGTGAGCACAGGACTGTGGGTATCAGACCGAGTTGCTGATTTCCTTTGGATGTGTACCCAGAAGTGGGATGGCTGGATTGAATGGTAGTTCGATTGCTAATGTTTTAAGAAACTCCGTACAATTTTCTATCGTGGCTGTAGCAGTTTATATTTTCTCCAGCGGGGCTGGGGTTCCCTTCTCTCAATACTCATTATCACTTTTTAATATAACTGACACATATGAGATAATATTTCATATTTTTATCTTGTGTGTATGAGTGGTTTTATACATTACTTATTTGTATGAGTGTTTGCTTATATGTATGCCTGAGCACCATGTCAATGCCTAGTGTCCAAAAACCAGAAAAAGACATTTGATTCTCCTGAACTGGCCTTACAGATTGTCTTAGTTAGGGTTTACTGCTGTGCACAGACACCGTGACCAAAGCAACTCTTACAACTCAACATTTCATTGGGGCTGGCTTACAGGTTCAGAGGTTCAGTCCATTATCACCAAGGTGGGAGCATCCAGGCCAGGCATGGTGCAGGAAGAGTGGAGACTTCTACATCTTTAACTGAAGGCTGCTAGCAGAATACAGGCTTCCAGGCAGCTAGGATGAGGGTCTTAAAACCCACACCCACAGTGATACACCTACTCCAACAAGGCCACGCCTACTCCAAGTAGGCCACACCCACTCGAACAGAGTCACACCTTCTAATAGTGCCCCTCCCTGGGCTAAGCATATTCAAACCATCACACAGATGGTTGTGAGACCAAGAAGCCTGGGTCCTCTGTAAGAGAAGCAAGTGCTCTTAACCACTGAGCCGCCTCTCCAGCCCACCTTTCATGGCTATGATTTCCCTTTGCCCCATCAATGGTCTTTTTTTTGTTTTTTGTTTTTTTTCAAGACGACAAGACTAAAGTCAAGTTTATTGGGAGATAAGGACATGTTGTGACCACTAGCGCGTCCATTAGGAGTCTGCAGGCGTCTGTTTCTCATGCCCTCTCAACGGCTCATTCCTGGATGTAGAGGTTGCTGGGGGCAGTGGGGTCATCCGTGGGCCGTGTCTCCACCACTGCAGGCCTGGGGGAGCAGAGCAGATGGAAGGTGAGGGTGGGGTTTCTCAGATCCTGCAGCGGCTGTTTCGAGTCTGGAGCCCACACCTGAACTCCATGCTTCCAGAAGGCTTGGAGTCCATCTTCAACCATAGCCACAGCCTCTGTCATGGGGATCTCGGGGGTGCGAATCCCGGGAGCTAGTGCCCCCTCTGGGGTCACTAGCTTCAGAGAGCCATCCATCAACACCACCACCATGTCTTCCTTTACTTGGGTCACTTGCACTGGTCCCTTGTGCTCCTGGTTCCCTAATCTGTAACCTGTAGTCTTGCAGCCCCTTCTCTCAAGTCTTGTCCTTTCCTGAAACCATGCCCCTGTTCTGAAGCCCCGCCCTCCTCCCGCAGCCCTGCCCCTTCCCTGCAGCCTGAACCCCCTCCCTGCAGCCTCGCCTTGGCTTGCAATTTTTCCCCATGCGCCATCAATGTTGAGTACATTAAATATAGGTGTTGTCTGTTTGTCTTTGGAAGAGTGTCCAGTATGTTCTCTCCCTGACCCTCAACCACTTCTCTCTCGCGAGCGCTCTCTGACACAGACTCTTTGTAACTCAGGCTACAGCTTCAGAGGCAGCTCCCCAAAATTTTCCCATTTGCTCAGATGGCTAGGTCATCTCACTCAGATCCTTTGCCCGTTTGTGAATCAGACTGCCTTTTGCTGTTAATTGCATGACTATTTGTATATTTCGGCTGTTAATCTCTTGTCAGCTAGATCAGATACAGGGCTTGCAAATGTTTTCCGGGGGTCGCTTCTTTCGTTTTGCTGATTGTTTCCTTGACTGGGCAGAAGCTTTCTAGTTCGACAAAATCTGTTGCTTATTTTTGCCATTGCTACCCATACTTTTGATGTCCTCACTGAAACAAAGTCATCGGCAGCTTTGTCAGTGACTGTCACTGAATCATGTCAAAGACTGACATCAGGGACCTTCTCCTCTGCTTCCTTCGGGGATTTTCACAAGTACATCTTCAACCCATTTCAAGTTCATTTTTAATATGATATTAGAGATGTTTGGATAGTTAGTTTTTCCAATGAAGAAACCATTAACCTGCACCTGTGTGTTTATGTGCTTTTGTTTTGTTTTTGTTGTTGTTGTTGTTTCTTGGTAGGGTTTTTTGGGGTTTTTTTGTTTGTTTGTTTGTTTGGGGTTTTTTGTTGTTTTGTTTTTTAGTTTCTGTTACCATTTCTTCTAGGCTCCGCCCCACAGTTACCTGGCAAAAAACAAATGTGCTGTTTGCCCTCTCCTCTCTCTCTTATCCTTTTACTCTCTCTGTCCCTTCTCTCCCCATTCCCCTTCCCCCTTCTTCACGTGTTCATGGCCAGCCTCTTCCTCTTCCTCCTACTCTTCCTCCTCTTCTTTTTCCTTCTCCTCCTCCTCCTCCTTTTTCTTCTCTCTCTCCTCCCTCAAACCCCCCTCTCCGTGACCTAAGCTCTCTTCTCTACAATACCCATCCTATGGCTGGTACGTCAAGGGGAAGGGATGTCTCAGAATAAGCCCACAGAGGCATCCCCTCCCTCATGCCACACCTCACTCCTACCAAACATACCCCCAGCTTCCTTTTCTTTTTTTATAAAACACTACAGTTTTGGTTTTGGTTATTTGTTTGCTTATTTGTTTGGGTTGGGTTTTGAGGCTAGGTTTCTCTGTTTAGCCTGGTTTTTCTGGAGCTCATTCTGAAGACCAGGCTGGCCTCAAACTCAAAGATCCACTACCTGCCTCTGCCTCCTGAGTGCTGAGATTAAAGGTGGGAGCCACCGCCAC